GGCTCCACCTAGTATGTACCCCTCTCCACTAGGAGGGGCAGAAGTCCCACCTCAAACAGGTCTGGACTAAGCCCTTCCTGTCCCAAAAAAACCCTCCTTTATCACAATTCTTCCTTGGCAATCCACTTTCGGGAAGTTCTCCCTTCTTGGGAGCTCAATAAACTCCCCACTTTGCCACAGCTATTCTTCTGTGTCCGTGACTAATTTTTCCTGAGTGTGGGACAAGAACATGTGTCTCACTGTAAGTGAGGGCCTGTTCACTCCTGTACCCCTCATTCCTGCATCACTGGGCCTGTGTTCTGACCTCCTTGGGACAAATGACACAAAAATAGAGACCATATCTAGGTAGGAAGAAACAGGCAGAGTACTCATGCCAGAAAAACACTATGGGGACCAGCAAATAGCACAATGGCTACATAGATAGACTCTCACATGGCCCACCACTGTTTGATTCGGCTTCAAAATCCCGCTGGGTGCATGTGCATGTGCACCCCAGATCCCAAGAAGAGAATAGAGAAGGGATTCAGCATGGACACCCCCCCTAGGGGGTTCTCTGTCTCTCTTTTCCAGAGAGTGCACATGCCCTTAAGGCAAAAACCTCTCAGAAAAGAAAAAAAATGAAAAGAGAAAAACACTATGATCACTATACCTGGGGGACTATTTCATACAAGCCCTTTTCTCCCACTAATCTTCATCTAGAAAAGAAACTAAACAGTGATCTTTACCATCTATTGAACTGAATTCCACAGAAAAGGAGTGACAGCTAAGATGTTCTTCCATTTTTGCTGACTTGTCAGGTCCTAAGTTCTCTTGGCTGTGACTTTGAAAAGAGCAGATCAGCTTTGGTTTACTCCATTTACCACGCCAAACCTATGGTAGCCACATGCCCTCAGGTTCACTGAAAAATCACTGACACAGAGGAAAAGGAAAGGCAAGCAGAGATAAAGGGAAAGGCACACAGACATTTAACTTACACCGTCCACATGGAACCCACAAACTGCTCATTTAAAAAAGAAAAGCCAATCTACTGGAAGTTGTAAACTCTCAAGGGCAAAGGAGGTATGGAGTTATGCTAAAAGCGTGGGGGAGAGAATGCAAAGAACCTAGCCTTTCTAGGCCAGAGTCACACTTCTAATCTCTTTCTCCCCATTTTAAAGACTATTAACATCTGCTGTTGACTCTACTGATATAAATGAATCCACATTTCTTTCACAGAGGGTTAGTGAGCAGACCCTCTAATTGAAATTATAAGCATGTTACTTTTAATTTTCCCACAAAATGATTAGAAAGTTACTTACCTAATGTAAACACCTATTCTTTGTCCTCTGTTCCCTGGATCCTAGAGAACATTGGGACTATATAATGTTATAAGCGTTATCTTTATTTAGAATGATAGTTCAAAGTCCCAGTTCTACAAAATATACCCAAAGGGCTACAAGATAAAATAGAGCTCTCTTTCAGTTTCCCACAACAATGTCCTATTCACAGCCAGTTCAAACAAAACATAAAATCAAATGTACAAGTTACCAAATTTCCAAATTGTCTCTCAAGGCTTCTTGACCCTGTATCCAAAGGGGGAGATCACACCAAACAAATGACCTGTCAAAGGAGAAACCAAACGTCTAAAGCAAGGCTTATAGCTACTCTTTAGCTAAGAGTTGACTGTGATCCTAACAGTGTCTTTTTTCCGTCTTTTCCTGTTTCCTTTGTTTCAAACTTCTAGCTTCTCTGCTCTTTTATGTATTTGTTACTCCTTTATTAATGGAGCCGTTAATGCTTTCTTAATTTTGTCCACCAAAATTTCCATTGCTTTTGGCAATAGACTTTGTCATGGAATTCTTCAAGCACCGTTTTAAATGTAAGTCCTCTCAGTCAGAACTGTGAACATCTTTGTGCTTAAGGCTTGTCTCTGGCCTCTTATCTGAGCAGAATTTCTTCTACTATTGTTACCGAACTCAAATCAGGTTCACTCGCCCAAGCGCTATAAAACCAAGCCATAGGCACATGGTGTGATGAAGGAAAGTACAGATTTATTGCAAAGCACAAAGCAAGAAGAGCGGGCAGCTCATGCTGAAAAGACCCAGTCTCCCCGAGATGGTTCCCCAGTGCGTTTTTAAGGGCAAAATTAGGGGCAGAGGTCCAAGGCACATGATCAGTTCAGTGATTGGTTCAAGATGGCATAATCACCTCATGGGCATTCTTGATTGGTGAGGCCTTAGATAATCAAATTCCTCTTCAGGTATCTGCAACCATTCAGCCTGGTGAGCTCACAAACAGCAGTTTCCAGTCTACATTGAAATGGAAACCTTCTTTCCTTTAAGTGAGAGTGTTAAAGGTCAAAAGGCCCTCACCCATGTCCATGCTAGTCATTATCATAACCAAAGTCTGAAGGTTTACTCCTTACTCTGGGCCATTACAATGCAAATGGACTTTATATTTCAGGAACCCTAGAAAATATATTAGGAGGCTCTTGCTCTGTATCATTCCTACCACGTGAGTTTTGTGTGCTGGAAGCCAAATTATCAGTGGGAAGTCCTGATTTCAGTTCCCCCAGAATGGCTTGTTGGCAGAATCCATGTGGCTGTGTCTTGAAGAAGGCCTCTTCTCTTTGTCTTTCCTGGGGTAGGAGGGGGAGAGGGAATTATTTTAACAAAATAAGGCAGTAGGAGTGTCCAGAAAGTGCAGAAAATGCTTTCCCTTAAAAATATACTAAAAAGTAAAAATATAAAAAATTATGAGATGGAAACCAAGACAGACATAGAGACAAAGACAGTTACAGAGATATGAGGTCTGGAAGGGGTCTTCCTACCACGCGAGATTTGTGAGCTGGAAGCCAAATTATCACTGGGAAGTCTTAATTTATGTTCCCCCAAAATGGCTAGTTTTCAGAATCCAAGTGACTGTGTCTTGAAGGAAGCTAGTTCCTTATTGCCTCTCCTGGATTTGGAGGGGGAGAGGGAATTATTTTACAATAACAGGTGGTAGGACTGCCCAGAAAGCACAGAAAATGCTTTCCCTTAAAAAATTCTAAAAAGCAAAAATTTTAAAAAAAAATAGGAATCAGACCGAGACAGAGGTACAGACAGACAAAGGTAGGTACAGAGACAGGGGTCTTGGGAACCAGCAGTTAGCATAATGGCTATGTCGCTGGACTCCCACGTAGTCAACCACGGTTCGAGTCCCAGACCTGGTGGCTTAAAACTCACGCCGGGTGCATGTGCGTGCGTGCCCAAGATCCCGAGAGGAGAATGGAGGAATGGAGGAGAAGGGATTGCGGCGTGACCATCCCCCCTGGGGGGTGATTTCTCGCTTTCTGTCTCTATGTCTCTCTCTCTCTGTCTGTCTGACAAGCGCATGCGCCCTATAGCAAAAGTCTCTTAAAAAAAAAAAATAGAGACAGGGGTCTTCCTACCACATGAGTTTTGTGTTCTGAAAGCCAAATTATCATTGGAAAATATTAATTTCTGTTCCCTGAAAATGTCAAATTTGCAAAATCCTTGTGGCTGTGTCTCCAAGTAGGCCTCTTCCCTTTGCCTCTCCTGGGTTGGGAGGGGGAGAGGGAATTATTTTAACAAAATAAGGCAGTAGGAGGTGCTGGAAAATGATATGCTTTGCATAACAAAAATTCTAAAAAAAGAAAAAATTAAAATAAAAGCAATCAGAGACCGAGACAGAGGTAGAGAGAAACAAAGACAAGGGCAGAGATGGAAGGACTGGAAGGTGTCTTCCTACCACGCAACTAATGTGTGCTGGAAGCCAAATTATCAGTGGGAAGTATTGATTTCTGTTCTCCCAAAAAGGCTAGTTTGAAGAATCCATGTGGCTGTGTCTCCAAGAAGGCCTCCTCTCTTTGCCTCTCCTGGGTTGGGAGAGGGACAGGGAATTATTTTAACAAAATTAGGCTGTAGGAGGTGTCAGAAAGTAGAGAAAACACTTTCCCTTAAAAATTCTAAGTAAAAATTTAATAAAAATGAGGATACAGAGACCAAGGCAGAGACAGCAGCCTGGTTGTGGTCTTCCAAATCCTGAGTTTTGTGTGCTGGAAGCCAAATTATCAGTGGGAAGTCTAGATTTCAGTTCACTCAAAATGGCTAGTTTGCAGAAACCAGGTGGCCGTGTCTTCCAGAAGGCACTTTTTCTTTGCCTCTCCTGTGTTGGGAATGGGAGTGGGAATTATTTTAACAAAATAAGGTGGTAGGAGGGGCCAGAAAGCATATAAAATGCTTTCTGTAAATATTTCTAAAAAGAAAAATTGAAAAAAAAGGAGGAATCTGAGATGGAGACAGAAGTAGAAACAGACAAAGAGTAGTACAGAGACAGGATGCCTGGAAGGGGTCTTCATACCATGGAGGATTTGTGTGCTGAAAGCCAAATTATCAGTGGGAAGTCTTGATTTGTGTTCCCCCAAAATGGCTAGTTTGCAGAATCCATGTGGCTCTGTCTCCAAGAGGCCTATTTCATTTGCCTCTCCTGGTTTGTGAGGAGGAGAGGGAAGAATTTTAACAAAATATATCAGTAGGAGGGGCCAGAAAGCACAGAAAATGCCTTCCATTAATAATCTAAAAAGCAAATATTTTAAAAGAAATAGGAATCTGTGACCGAGACTGAGGTAGAGACAGACAAAGACAGGTACAGAGACAGGAGGACTGGTAGTGGTCTTCCTACCATGGGAGATTTGTGTGCTTGAAGCCTAATTATCAGTGGGAAGTCTTGATTTCTGTTTCCCCAAAATGGCTAGTTTGCAGAATTCGTGTGGCACTGGCTCCAAGAAGGACCATTCCATTTGCCTCTACTGAGTTGTGAGGAGGAGAGGGAAGAATTTTAATAAAATATATCAGTAGGAGGGGTCAGAAAGCACAGAAAATGCCTTCCATTAAAAATCTAAACAGCAAAACGTTTAAACAAAATAGGAATCCTCGACCTAGACAGAGGTAGAGAGAGACAAAGACAGAAACAGAGAAAGGATTACTGGAAGGGGTCTTCCTACCACGTGAGATTTGTGTGCTTGAAGCCTAATTATCAGCGGTAAGTCTTGATTTCTGTTCCCCCAAAATGGCTAGTTGGCAGAATCCATCAGGCTGTGTCTCCCAAAAGGACTCTTCCCATTGCCTCTCCTGGATTGGGAGGTGAGAGGGAATAATTTTAACAAAATTAGGTGGTAGGAGGTGCCAGAAAGTGCATAAAATGCTTTACAT